TCTAGGAAAACAGAAAATTTTATGGACACATCAAGCTTAACTTTTATAAACGGTGAAGCTAAAAGTATAATTTAAAAAATTCTTTTTATTTAAATATGGAAGATACGCTTTTTAATATATAGACTTTTCTTACTAGCATTTCAAATGAGGTAGAAAGTAAATTATTTGGATTTTTAAAGTTACGTACCTCAAAGGTTTAATACGGTGATAGAAGTTACAGAATTTCCTTTCACCTTCCTCCTAGTCCTAAGACTTTAAATGATGCTGGGCTGTTAAATGTGACAGGAAACATTTGGTTCAGCCTTTGAATCCAGACCAGCTGCTCATCTTGCTTTAGCAAATGTTATCAGCAGGCCTGGCAATAACCAAATCCCCTGGTTCTTAATTCTGTCTGTACCTTTATTTTTTTATTATGTTTTTAAGGCAAAATACATTGGCTGCAGTGGTATCTTTTGTCTACGAAATGTGGTTCGTGTGGAACAGAATTTTTGAGATTAGCTGAGAAAGGGGTTTATTTCTCAGTATTTGTAGTCAGCGTTGTAGCTGACACATGGATTCTGTTTATTTGGTATGGTTTAGGATCATAAAATTGGGATTTTCTAGGATTTACAGAAATATGAAGCACGAAGAGAAATATTCTCATTTAGGTTAACTTGAGTTATTGATTGGACTGGATTTGATACAACAAATAGATGGGCATTTCCCCCAAAGGCTGCCTTTTCCTAGCGATGCTGAAAGAGAAGAGGAAGTCGAATTGGGTATCAAGGCGTAACTAATAAATCACAATTTTTGTTTTCCATCTTTGCCATTTTGACTCCAGTAAAAACAGTGAAAGTATTGATACAATCAAGCTTTAAAATGGAAGTCATGTATTTTGTGATTGTAATACTCCTGTTTGTTGTGGAAGAAAAGTGCTTTCTAGTTAAGGAGAATTCTGTCGCTGGTCCCTAGGTGTTCTCCAGCACTGAACAGATGTGTGACCAAACTTGGCTTGTTTCTTTTCTTTTCATGTTTAGGAGAATATTTGATAGTCAATTGTAGGTATTCCAATTAAACCCAGAATTTACTGTATATGAAATGTATTGATCATTGCACAGGTTATTCATGATTTTGGCAGTTCTTTTAAAGATAGATGGAGGATAGCTGTGGTTTACAGCTTAAATTTTCGATGCTCGGTGACAGTTTTAATGAAGATTTTAAGTCATATTCCTTTTACTGTCCTACCATAATTTCGCCCTGTGCAGTTCCCTGGTTAATGGATAGTCTCTTCATTTATCTGCTGCACGGGTCAGTGAGTTTCCTTCTCCTCTCCCTGTGGAGGGGAGGAAGGGCCGGGTCCCCCTCGCTCGCAGGGGAAGGGATGGTTTGTATCAGCCTGATGGACCTGGGCTGGGATCACGCTCGAGCCAGCAGTCCCACAGCTGAGGGCTGCTCTGTGTCTGTATGTCTGTGTGCTGCCTTTCCTCTCCGGCAGCACCTATCTGAATAGATATGATTTATATATATATTTTATAGATATAATTCATATT